CAACGGCGATGTCGAAGATGGGCAGCGAAAATGCGACGCTTCTTTGGATTGCGGTTGGGATGCCTTCCACACAAACCCATGCTGGAGGCTGCAGATGCCGTCGACAAGGTGGATTTTTCGTTTCCTCTTTTTTTGTTTATCAGATGTTGTTCCTGCACACCCAGTTGTGCCGGCCCAAACCCAGCAGGCTGTGCCCTGAAATGATGCCCAAAACCAGGACCAAAAAAGGTACCTAAAATGGGCACACCTGCAGTTGAAACACAGGCCAGGCACCTGAAACAAGGCCCATTTCCAGTACCCAAATTGGGGACCCACTTAGTGTCCATTATGCGCCGGTCTGCCACCCCATCCCTTTTCGTGTCAGCAACGTCAGGCTGCATTCTTTTTCAATTTGCATTGATTGGTTGCACGCGCAGTGCCACCTGCAAAAAAACGCGAAATTTGGGTTGCAATGGATGAGACCAGTATTCCGCGTTACGCAGGGTGCCGGTGCGGTACTGTGCTTACGAAAGCAGCTTGGGATACACGCGGCGGACCACAAACTTGGCCATTCGAAAGGGTGCAGTCACATTTTTGGCAGCATGTTCACCAGATTTTGCAACACATCAGCGATTGCCACAGGTGCTGCTAGGCAATCATTCCCTTTTTCGTTTCGGAGATATTGCGGCAATGTCTGGCATTTTGCCAGAAACCACAGAGCTCTGGCGTGGTGTGAGCTCCTGGAATAACTGTTCTGGTTTGTTGCGATGGCTGGAGGCAGTCCATGATGCTGTACCGTTGGATCCCGGAACGCAAGTGATACTATTGCTGGATGTGGCCTGCATGCACATTAGCGGAGGTGTCCTGCAGCGTGCCCATGAACTTGGCATGTGGACAATTTTTGTGCCATCCAGAGGTTACAAGCAGTATCTCCGGAAGCTGCATCATGATGCCGAACTCGAGGCAGCAAGTTCTGTTTTGCCCCTACGCATGTGGATGCGGATTGTGTCAGAAAGCACTGCATGGATAGCAAGCCAATCATGCATGCCAGTATTCCGGAAATGTGGCATTTTCGGTGACAGGGAGAATCTGCTGCCGCCACTTGAATCCCTTGCAAGACACAATGTGGAACGTGTTGGTGCTGTTCCATTTCCAGATGAAGCACACTTCCGCCGTTGCTATCCAGTGAGAATGCATCGACATTTTGATCGCAGTATGCATTCAGTGTATCCAGCACTGGACTAACGACCCGTCTAGGTGTCCACTGTGTCTCACCCCATTTCCACATGCTAAGTTGCCTATGGCAATAACAGCACCATTGCGCACTGAGTTACAAATAAGATGCATGAAGTGAATTCCGCCGAATGCGCTTAAAAGCAAGTTAACACGGCGCAACAGCAGCTTGGAAGATAGCTTGTGTTACGGGTGACGCGGACTGTGGGAGACCTCGTACGGTGACAAAACGGTGACATCGATGCATGCCGAAAAACCGTGCCGAAACCCTGCAAAACCGGCTGTCGCAGAAAGGGTGTCATACCGGTGACAAGCTCGGCAGGCTGTTTTTCCACCCAAAGTGCCCGGTGACAAGCGGTGACATACCGGTGACAAGGGTGACTCGGCAGGCTGCTCGTGGCACCCAAAAGGCCGTTTGCCCCAAACTCTCGTGCGTACGCTCACCAGCGATGTCTTCGCCAATGCTTTGCTTGCACTGGAGGCCGGCAACTCCGTCGAGGAGGACACGACGGCCTCTCCCAGGTGCAATAGAATCCGTTTGGGGAATAGCCTCTAAAGAGAGGGTGCTTTTGACTAGCGTAGCGTCTCTACAGCGTCGCCCACCACTCCTCAAAGAGCCTCTCCAGTTCGGGTCGGGGCGGAGGCCGTGCCGAGGCGATACCGGCAGGCGAAGAGGAGCTCCCGGCCGGCGCGCGCGATGTTCCAGGGTTCACTGCCAGGGTCAGGGTGTAGGTCCACACTCACTGCCCCCACTGTGTGGGTGGCCAGGACCACGCTGCAGCCGCCACCTCGTGAGGGAGCGCTGGTCCACCACCGTCTTGAGGCCGTAGTTGGCGGCCACCGTGACCAGCGTGCCGTTGTTGGCCAACGCGATGGAGCCGTTCATGGCTGCCGTGGTGCTGTAGTTCGACAGCTTCAGGTCCACGCCGTCGGGGGTGCTCTTCGTGGCCACCACGCCCTCCAGCACGTCGAAGGCCGACTGGTCAGCCTTGTTCGAGAGACCCGTGGTCAGCGCGATTGCCGGCGCCAGTGCGCTGCTGCCCAGCTTCGAAGCCAGTGACTTGGTCGTCCAGGGACTGGATGGCAGCTGTGTTGTTGCCGGATGCTGCCGTGTTCACTGCCAGGTACCGCCCCACGACCTGACTTCGGTCAGACTTCGGTCAGTTAAGAAAACATGTTTGAAGGACCAGTCGCCGGGAACATCCCGGCGGTCCTGGACAACGGAGAGGTAACGGAAGGCGCGCGCGTCACCGCAGAACAGCTGGCCCTCGCTCTGACGCCCTACGCGCAAGTGGCAGCGTCCTTGTTGTAATTTCACAACAGCCCCTTGAGCCGTTTGCGTGCAGTTGCCCCTGGGCTTTGGACCGAAGCCGCGGAGCCGGCCTCGCTTTTGTGGATGTGGGTATGAATAATCTATGGTTGTTCAATTTGTGGGGCAACTTTGGCACCACAATGGTTTCAAGACTCATTGATCCATTGTTCTTCACCATTGTGTTGGCGTGCTGTAGTTTAAAGCATCTTTGGCAAAGGTGTTAACCACCAATGCTGCAACGTTTCTTTCACAGGCATGGTTTTCAACATCGTTGCTTCAACATATCCTAACGCATGGAAACTTGTAACCATTCACGTATGGTACCGGGCCCCGGTATGGTCTGACCGGGGGCCCCGGGTGTTGACTCTCCGCCGCTCAGGGCCCGGCAGAACCTGACTGGGCTGCGCGAGGCCTGCAACACGGCACGGCAAACATAAACCTTTAAGCTTCTACGTTGGCTGTCAAAATCTTAACGGTTTTCGTTTGCCCCAACTCTCGTGCGCGTACGCTCACCAGCGATGTCTGGAGCCATGCAAGCATAATAGCTGAGTCTGAGTAACCTTGCTGCTTGCTTTCTATGGGAAAACCAACAGGACACACAACGTGTGGGGCTGCTTGTGGCGACAACCTGACGCGCTCTTAAAAATTTAGGGGTCGGAAGGCGACAGCCAAATTCTTGCTCATAGGCCTTTGTGCTTTTGTGGATACGGGTATGAATCTTAATCTATGGTCGTTCAATTTGTGGGGCAACTTTTGGCGCCACAATGGTTTCAAGACTCATTGATCCATTGTTCTTCACCATTGTGTTGGCATGCTGTAGTTTACAAAATCTTTGGCGAAGGTGTTAACCATCAATGCTGCAACGTTTGTTTAACAGGCATGGTTTTCAACATAGTTGCTTCAACGTATCCTAACCCATGGAAACTTGTCACCAATCACGTATCGGTACCGGGCCCCGGTGTGTCCAAGCCTGCTCAGAGTGCCCGGCAGGACATGATGATGGATGCTACTATGGACCGGAGGCCTTTCTACTTGTACAGAAAACTGTTTGCTTCTTTTTGTTTCTTGGAATATCCACCGGGGCTGCAGGGGTTTTGTGCCGTGCATCATTTTGCCAAGATATGTACATGGCTGGTTGTCGCAACATGTCGCAACTAGGGAATTCCTTTGGCGGATCTGAGATCCTTTTGAAGTGGGGCGATAAGAAGCCAGCCGGCCACAAAGGGCTCAGGAGGGAGGGGAGGGAGGGAGGGAGAGGGAAGGAGGGAGAGGGAGGGAGAGGGAGGGAGAGGGAGGGAGAGGGAGGGAGGGAGGGAGGGAGGGAGAGGGAGGAGAGGGAGGGGAGAGGGAGGAGAGGGAGGGAGAGGGAGGGAGAGGGAGGGAGAGGGAGGGAGAGGGAGGGAGAGGGAGGGAGAGGGCGGGAGGGAGCGAGGGGAGGCCGGATTTTTTAGGCTGCGCAAGGGGGATCATTTGCCCCAGCCTTTCTGTGTCCCACACGGTACTTTTCTTGCAGGCTCTATTTGAAGGTGTGCAATTCACCAAGGATAAAAGGTGCGCATTTGGCCAAGCAAACATTCCGCAGATTTCCGTACTTTTTCCGCAGATTTCCGTACTTTTCCCGCCGATTTCCGGGCATTTCCCGCCGATTTCCGTGCGTTTCTTGTTTTTACATTTTGGCTGAGAAAACTGCAAACTCACAAAAGCGGCAAGGAAGCTGTCACATGTCGCCCCACAGCAATAGGAGACGAATGACCTGAAACGGAATTAAGTATGACGGGCCATGTAAATTGCAAACTGTGTTCATGTGCATCCATGTGCCCCACAAACGCTCACAGCCTGCCAAAAGCGATTTCCGTCAAATTTCCTCAAAAGTGTACATTGACGTTCTTTTTCTGCATGTACGGAAATTTCAGTACTTTTGGAGGGTTCAGGTTGAGCGCAGAGCCTCCTAACGTATTTCGGCAAAGTTCTTGCCCCGCGCGCCACCTACCCATACCTACCCCGCTCCAACTAGCAAAAAAACACGCGTTTCCGCTGTTCCTTGGAAATATGTGATTTCCGCTCTTAACTGTCAGCTTCATGCGCCAGGCGCATTGCTGCAAGCGCTACCCAATTTGATGCAAAACGGCGCTGAGTTTAGTGGCAACTTCCGTGGCTAGGTTATGGTGTAGCTGTTGGGTTGCAATGCTGGGTTAATGTATTGGATCTATCCCAGTGAGAGTCGCATGAAGCTCGATTGTCCCATGTGAGTATTCTAGGAGCACATGTAGCCCTTTATGCCTACGCTGCATTGGCTGAGAGGCAGGTGTTTTGACGTGGGCAGCATTGCATGAGGTTTGCAGTTGTGTTGACATCCAACGAGTGTGGATTGACTCGTCTCACTTGCTGATGAACTGTATGTTTCTGGGGAATACAATTTGAGTAGCAAGCAAACAAACAACACGTCCTTTGTTTGGCCAATCCATTCGGAAGTGAGTCATGGAATCTGGACAGTGGAATCTGTAAGCCATGGAGTTAGAGCACTTCGAACTCGAGAAAGCCATCCTGGCCTATCGCTTCTCGGCCAGCTCTTGGAAGCATGCGCTTCAAGGACCAAGATGTGCTGTGCAATGCAGCCTCCCCTTAGACGCTAACACGTGACAACAGCTGGCTCCAGCTGCGACAGGCGTGGCCGCCTGTCGCAGATGTTCTGTTTGTGGTTTCTTGTGGTTTCTGAGGACGGCGCTGTCCGCCAAAGCCTTGCTGCAAGGTGCCCGGCTCAGTTGGCGCTCCGTGGCTTGGAGTCAAGCTGCAGTTCCGACACTTCAGGAGCCAGACGGCTGTTGGTTGGCGCTTGTCCAAACTCATCGTTACAGCACTTGGACAGACTTGGCAGAACACGTGTTGGGTTGCTTTTCTTGCTCAGCTGAATGCCACTCCATTCCAAGTTTTGTAGGCGACCCTTGATATGGATGGCATGGGTGGTTTGGGTTGACGACCCATGTGGCCATCAACCTGATCCATCAAGTTCACGGAGAAAGAAGTTGTTGATTGAGACATTTCAGGCTGGCCAGATGCGGTACTGGCCTTTTCTGAAGTTAAGTGGCTGTTTCTGAGAGGCCGACATATGCAAACAGATGAGGCCATCTAGTAGCATATGTACATATATATAAAAAGCCTCGTGCGCAGTCATGCTTGGGGATCAATGCCAGCGCCATGGCCGAGCCTGCTGATTTATCTCCGCGTCTTTCATGGATCAGTGGTCGACTTGGAGAAGATCCTGTTGCCGACGTATCACCACTTCTGGCCTCGCAAGGAGCTGTGGCCCAACTCCGCCTTGGTCCTGGTTTGGGACGAGGAGTCGGAAGAGGACCGAGCGGCCGCGGATCGCCTGCATCGAACGTGGGACGCTGTTCTGGCAAGCAAAGAGGGCAGCTCCAGGAGAGAACTCGTGCATTGCCGATCCGATCACTTGACCATGCCCTTTTAAAGCATGTTTGCTAGCCCGAGAAATTTGATCCCGCTACCTGTAGGAAGTCTTTGGTCATTGACCATCCCCTGCCAGGCAGCCTGCCTGGCTTGACCTTTTTGAGAAGAAGCCACCCGCTTCGACGGTGTGTGACGTGAAGAAGCGCGGCGCCAGCGACAGGCCTTCGAACTACGGCTACGTGCGTCAGGCTCACGCGTACCTGGAGGCCGACCTGATTTTGCGGGAGCACTTCACCGAGATTCCGCAACTTGCGGAATCTGAGTGGGACGATCTTCACATTTTGCTGTGCGATGCTGACATGGCCTTCACCATGCCTATCCATCCGCAGTTCCTGTTCGATGGGCAAAAGCCACGCGTGCACGGGGTGTGGGGGCGCCGGGCGGAGGGGGACATCACTTTGGAGACGAACTTCGTAAAGATGCCCCCGGCGGCCGACTTCATGGACCAGCTGCCCTGGATTTTGCGGGCCAAGGACTTCCCGGTGCTAAGGGCGAGGGTCACCCAGGCGGTGTTCAGCAACGCACACCGCCTCTTCCTGGGAGAGTCGTCGTTAAGGAACCCGCCGGTGGCTTGGTTGCGCTGGAGGTCCCGAAGGCTCTCCAAGCGCCGCACCGCCTTGCTGAGGTTTTGGACCGTGGCCGCCAGGCCGCTCCCGGCCTTTTTTGAGCCGAGCAGAGGAGATGTGGAGCCGTTTGCGGAACTGCAGATTGCGTGGATCGACGCCAACCTGACCAGCCCTTTCGAGGACTTTACTTGGTCCATTGCCATGGGTATGGTATGGAGATGTGCCCATCCGTTGCAGCAGCAGTCGCTCCACGATCGCAGCGTGGCTCATGTCAACCTGCTTTTCAACAATCTCTTTTGGCTTCCTGAGAAGAATAGCTACAGCTGGTTCTTGCGAAGGGCTGTGCTCCAGCCCAAACCAAAGCCAGATGTCATGTCTGGCCCGACCGATCGCCTGGCGGATCTTTATGCGAGATATTTGGCCGATTTCCCGAGCGCGGGCCGGGAGTTGCAAAGCTTTCCGTTGAGCCGCTACCACTTGGAGTTGCTGAGGCAGGCTTCGAATTCACCACTTCTGTGTGCTTTTTTTAAGGAAATTCCCGGACAAGACCCCCACAAATTGTGGCTTTCCTGTTTATTTCGCTTTCAACCACAAAATGGAGGTAGCCCCATTTTACCTGTTAATCAACAGCCGCACATTGCCAAGTGGCAACCCTGTCCCACAGGTAAGTTTGTTTTTGGAGTTGGTACCCCCCATTGCCCCCGCATCCAGATCTTGGATTCGGGGGAGAGTTGCCTCGCACGGAGGAGTCAGGAGCTCTCCACTCCGGAGGGCGCGGCGGCCGCGGCCGTGGCCGTGAACGCTGAGGTGCAGCCATGCCACCGGCACCCACACGGGCACAAGGCGCTGAAGCACTGGAACGCTCTGAAGTTGGCGCGGAGGCTGGCCCGAAGCCCCACGGAGGCCGCGCGGAGGCGGGGATTCGGGTTGCAGCGACCTGGTTTGGACTTCAGGCGAAAACGAAGAACGCATCAAAGCAGACATTGCATCTTGGGTGAACCAGCAAAAGCTTCCGAGCCAACACAAACGTCGAACCCTCGGAATGGGAATCATCGTTTCTTGTACTCTTCTTGTCGACCACGAATCTTGAATGTTTGTAGCGAATGAACAAAGCATAGCATCGACAAATCAGTTAGTTTGGGTTAGCGAATATTGGTGGCATTTTTTGTGGCTTTTTCCCCCCACCAGACCCAACTCCTTCCACCCATCGAACGGGGGGGGAAGGATGGGCGTGGCGGAGCTGCAGGGCTGCCTCTACGGCCTGGGGAACGTCTCGTGCCGGCGGTTGGCGAGGGCCCGACGCCCGGAGCTGAAGACCAGCTGCGCCGCTCGCTCGGTTTGGTGCTGGGTTTTGAGAATGGGCCAAAGGTGTTTGGCCCGTTCTCAAGATCATGGTTGTTGTTGGGAAACATTTTTGCATTTTTGCTTATTGTGGTTTGGCGGGAAATCCCCACCAACTTAACTGCTAAGATTTATGTTTTTGCTCCCCTTCCAACGTCAACTAAGAGCTAGGAATCGGTTTTCAACCACGGGTTGGTTTCCTTTTGGTTTCTCTTGCAACACCAAATAGGGGTCGGCTCCGAGCTTTTTGTTGTTCATGTTTGAGAGGTGAGAAACCCCAGGCGCATGTCACAACTTTATTTTGCTTGCTTCCAGTTTGTAGTGCACATCAGTGCAACCTGCAGCATTTGGGTCGCCAAGGATGCTACAGCGCAACAGTGCCCAGAGGCACGCATGCTACGTGAGGATAACTTCTGGCAGTTATCACTGATTCTGAACCAGCAAGTCGACTTCAATCCATTTCTTGGTCAGAAGTGCACGCTGCACTATATCATCTCCGAGGACTCACTCAACCGCCAACGAATCGACCGGATCTCACCTTTTTCGGTTTCCCATCTTTGTATTTATGGGTTTTGAGTTGCCCCAAAAGATGATCACCTTGAAATTCTGGGTTTGTCAGGGGCAACTGAGAGGAGCTTTGGGCGGATCAGATGTACTTGTCCGAACATGGATCATCGCTCCGACTGCGAACTTCAGAGATGTCCACAGCGGCAACTGCGTCCATTGCATCCAGGATCACGCAGGACCACACCCAGGTGTATGAATCCTTGGACGGAGCCTGCGACGTCTTCGATCTGGCCCATGCCCTGCAGTGCCTTTCCGAACATTTGAAGGCCGCCCAGCAGGACAGCGCTGGCTGGACACACTGGTTCCGACACTTGAATGCTCGGAAAGGGGCTGAGAAAAGGACCGCAGAAAAAGACAACCGCACGGACGGCTCGTTCGTCTCATTTGGGACTGGCGAGTTGGTTTTTTTGGGAACAAGTCGACAGGGTAATGTTGACCTCAGATCAATAAACCCGTTCTATTTCAGGGGGGGGGGGGGTTCTTTTTTTGCTTCTTTCTCTTTTTTTTCCCGAAAGCATGGCGAAGGGTTCTTCCGCTGGGTTCACTTGAGTTGTTCTCATGAGAGTCATTACAAGGTGTCATTGCAAGGAATCAGCATCATGAAAGTCATTGCAAGGAGTCACGTCTGGCTCCGCCAAACATAGGGGGGGGGGGGGGTTGGGGGGGGCGCAGCCCCCCCATGATAGAACTGAACAAGAACGACGAAGAACGTCGGGCTTCGCCAAACATAGCGGGGGGGGGTTGGGCGGCGCGCAGCCTCCCCCCATTCTCCCCATTATAGAATTGCAAGGAGTCATTGCAAGGAGTCATTGCAAGGAATCATCATCAGTCATTGCAAGGAGTCATTGCAAGGAGTCATTGCAAGGAGTCATTGCAAGGAGTCATTGGAGTCATTGCAAGGAGTCATTGCAAGGAGTCATTGCAAGGAGTCATTGCAAGGAGTCATTGCAAGGAGTCATTGCAAGGAGTCATTGCAAGGAGTCATTGCAAGGAGTCATTGCAAGGAGTCATTGCAAGGAGTCATTGCAAGGAGTCATTGCAAGGAGTCATTGCAAGGAGTCATTGCAAGGAGTCATTGCAAGGAGTCATTGCAAGGAGTCATTGCAAGGAGTCATTGCAAGGAGTCATTGCAAGGAGTCATTGCAAGGAGTCATTGCAAGGAGTCATTGCAAGGAGTCATGGCAAGGATTGCAACTTGCACTTGACTCCTTGCACTTGCAACTTGCACTTGACTCCTTGCACTTGCAAACTTGACTCCATGCACTTGCAACTTGCACTTGACTCCATGCACTTGGCTCCTTGCACTTGGCTCCTTGCACTTGCAACTTGCACTTAACTCCGTGCACTTGCGACTTGCACTTGACTCCATGCACTTGGCTCCTTGCAACTTGCAATGGCTCTCATGACTCCTTGCAATGACTCCTTGCAATGACTCCTTGCAATGACTCCTTGCAATGACTCCTTGCAATGACTCCTTGCAATGACTCCTTGCAATGACTCCTTGCAATGACTCCTTGCAATGACTCCTTGCAATGACTCCTTGCAATGACTCCTTGAAACAAGCAAGGAGTCAAGTGCAAGTTGCAAGTGCAAGGAGTCAAGTGCAATTGACTTGCGAGGAGTTAAAATCTCTTCTTAGGGCGGCGGGGTAGTGCCGACGACACTACACGAAAATCGACCCTCTGCGGGGATCGGCGTGGTCGAGGTGCAAAAACCCATGGTTTTTTGCGATTTCTAAAGTTCCCGCGCGACCCTCTGCGGGGATCGGCGTGGTCGAGGTGCAAAAACCCATGGTTTTTGCGATTTCTAAAGTTCCCGCGCGACCCTCTGCGGGATCGGCGTGGTCGAGGTGCAAAAAGGAGAGCCCCGCCTTTCCTCCAGTCGAGCTCCTAACACGGAGAGTCGGGAAGGAGGATGATCCAACGGAGGTCACGAGTGCAGTGATCTTCGCGCGTTCCACCCTAATCGGGAGGGACGTGCCATTCAAAGTTTTCAAGCGTTGGGCGCTGCGTGATCGGACGCCGATCGGGCCGTTGTTGAGGCCCATGGATGCGGCAGAGGCCCCTTATACGGGATATGTGCTGCTTACGATGCCTGAGTATAGGTCTGCCCTCAAAACGAGGTGCATCAAGCGACCTGGCAAATTCGCCATTACGGTCGTCCCCATGCGACCTGACAAGGTGTGCAGGGGGGAGATTGACATTGGCATGGAAGGTGCAAAGGTACCTCTCCTCAAGTTGCCGACTCCCAACAGTGAAAGTGAGTTCTATGTTGGCGATCGCGTTAAATTCACGGACAAGCGACATGTTGTCGTGGCAATCGACCTAAATGGTTGGCCATTGAAGATTCCGCGTGCATCTACAAAACCCGACGCGGTTTGACTGCGGTACGCGAAGAGATACATGCGCCTTTTTGGCGCGCATGCTATCTGCATCAGGAGGGGGATGTAATTTACATCCGACCTTGGGCGATCCGGGCGTTGAACGTTCCGGGCCCGCGGAGGGAGAAGTCATTCGCGTGGGACGATGCTCCCACGCATGACTACTGGTGCCCCCGCTGTGCGCATCTGAACATGTATGGCACCATTCTATGCAATGGCTGCCATCTGCCGATATTTTATCGGGAGTGGGTGCCAGGTACCGGCAGCCGGCATGGTTGGACGGACTCAAAGCAGTCCGAGCCAACAGCTGGTACCACGCGGAGACCAATTGCTGGGCCCCTCTCATGGCATCGGTAAACCCGATCCGAGAGGTGGTAAGCTGCATGATTTCTGCGATGTGCGCCCTACCTTGTGCACAATCCCGATGTGGATACGGTGGAGGCCGCATTCTTTGAGCTTGAGAACATCACCTCAAAGGACACCCATGCGTGTGTGAGGCCGAGTGATGAAGCACTCGAACGGTGGGTAGCGAAACAGCTACTCAGCGAAGAGAGTGAGACTGGAAACCCAGTTCAGGAGGGTGTGACGGTGATCGCATATTTGATCGATCACCCTCAACATGCGGCCCAATGGGGCTGTCGCATGACGAGGAAGGGCAGTCTAAATTCAGCATTTGCCTTCTACCTATCTGTAGGGAAAGGGTCGGCGCGGTGGCGGGAAGCATCAGTAGTACCTGATGACGATCTGCCAATGGTGAGCTGCACCAGGATTGCGCCTACGCGCGCCTACAACCTCAATTAGTTGTACACATGTTTAATTGCTGCACGATGAGATGAACAGGACAATGCTCCTAGTTTCATCGCAATTTTTCGGTTAATCGCCGAATCATCGTTTACTTGCACGTGTGTCCAGGCGCTAATCGCGCTGACCACATTGTCTTGTCAGGTACATTATGTAACGGCAAGGCAGTCACCCTCGCGCGTCTATGGCCGCTGGCAATCAGTTTCATCCTGCACCGCTGCTGCTGCTGGTGATGGAAGCCATCAAGATGCTGGGGTGAGGATCACGGATGCGCTGCACCGCCGCCGGTGATGTCCTACTCGGACCTGCGCCGCTGATTGCTGCTGGCGGTGTCCCCGCTTACGGTCCTCGTGTGATCGCGCGCCTAGACGGTGCTATTTATAAGACCAGGGCACAACGGTCGATGCACCATGTTTCAATCAGCAGGCCAAAGCGCCTAAATGATAAATTCAAAGCCACATCCACATGAGTCTCAAGATTCATTGTGGTGCACTGCAACGCCATTTTATTTCATGCCTGCCATATTGGAGTTGAATCTTTGTTCTCTTTGCTTGTTTTGTTCTTTGCTGTTTGATTTGGCTACGGGCGCGAATCCGCCCCATACCCGTAATTCGGGGTGGTGGCGGGATCCGGGCTCCAATGCGTGCCCGGGTATGGGGTCGCGAACCCTGGTAGTCTAATCTCCCGTGTTTCTTGTTTGTTCCTATTCAACTTCAAGATGGCCAATGCGCCTTTCCAAATTCACTCCATCTCTTTGTACAGTCGAGGGGGGTGTTTTTGGGGGCATGTGCTTTTATCGCAGCATATTTATAGTACGCCATTGCCCAACGCGGCATTTGGCTCAAGCTTTTATCCCGGCGACTTCATCTTGCCATCGCGTCAAAACTGCTGCTAGCGGCGCCGTGCCGGTGCGTGGGTGGTTGTGCCCCACGCCCCGGATTACGGCGGCTGGGTGGTTCTGGTGGTGGGTCAGGACTCGGGGTTGGGGATCGCGCTCTTGGTTTGCTTGCTCGCTTCGCTGCATTGTTTGCCTGCTTGGTTTGCTGCTTTGTGCTTGCTATCGGTTGTCTCTGCCCTTGCTGGGCTTATTCATCTTTTGGTTAAAGGCACCCTGTTTTGGTTCGTTGTTCGTGCCAGCCGGGGGCACCACTTTGCCCTTGGGGCTGGGGGGCTTAAACAATCTCTTCTTGTTGGTGGGATTGGGCCTGTTTATTCTCTCCCGAAACTCTGTTTCAAACCCTTTCGCATTTTCAAAAGTGATGAGCCCCCATTTAAAGAGGACCTTGCTTCCGGTTTGAGCCGTGAGCTGGCAGCTTAGGCCGTGCTCTGCAAGACCTCTGCAGTGCGCGGAGGCCTGCGATGCGACGCTCGGCTTGTTCGGATCGCTGGCTTTCTTTGCGGATGTGGGCATGGTTCAAAACCAATGGTACCTTTTGGGGTGGGATGAACATCCATTTGCCACCTATTTGGATGTTCACCAGGGGTACAGGGTTTTGACCCCCAGCCAATTGCCTTTTTCGATGCTCGTGTCGAGGATGTTTCAAAGGGATCGTCTGGGGGAACTGACAACTTGTTGGCTGCCCCGGCTTGGAGGCAGACACCTTTCGAGGGATGGGACATGGGCATGCTTAGGTTGCCATCTCAGACACACACATGCTGCACGACTCTTTGGAGATGCCTGCCGGTGTGGCAGCCTCAAGCTTGGCGCAGCTGGGTGTTTTTGTTGAGGGCAGTGGCATTGGTCGGACAACCAAAAAAGGAAATCCACCATCTTGGGGGTCCCCCGCAAAAAGGACGCAGCAGACTTATTTTGACTTCTCGCAAAGCTGCACTTCCTCGCTGTCCCTTTTTTGTCGAGGATGTGCTGATCCACTGCGGAGATTTCACAAATGATGGGACGTTGGAGGCAGGACGCGCCCTTGCACCGAACGGCGGTTCCCAGCCATCCGGTTGCTTAGGTGTTTAGTTTTCAGTTGTTGGAACTTAGTGGGGTTTCCAGATAGCCCGGCGGACTTCTGACTCCGTTTTGCTTGAGTAGAATATTCCCACAAGACACGCATTGTCCGTGGACTTGCCACTAAACGCCTTTTTTGTTTCAGCAGGGCATCCGCTGCCCGCGCACCGAACGGCGCAGTGTCTTCGCCAGGAGTGCCGGCACTTTTGCAGCTGGGCGGCGGCTCTGCGCTTCAGGCACAAACTGCTGGCAGGGGCCGCGGCATCAAAGTAGGGGAAACCCCAAAATGGCTGTGGGTCAAAAATAGGCACCCAAAATGGCACCCTGGTAAATGGAAGCAATGACTAAAACCTGTGGTCCCCTGGTGGTTCAATTTTGACCCATACCCAAATGGTTTCCTTTCGGTTTCACTGAAAAACTACCCCAAGGGTACCCTCAAACAAGTAGCCGTTTGTTCTTTTTTCGGCCTGTTGTTTGGCAGCCGCACTCCTCAAAACCTCACGTGTGCGCGGCGTATTTTGTGGCCGCCTTTCGACAGCCAGAGAATCGCATCAAACAAGCATGTCAGGCGGGTGCTGGGGAAGAAGCGCAAATCAAGCCTGTCGTTGCAAAGTATTTGTTGTGTGTAACACCAAGGTTTGTGGCAACCATGACCTACCCCTAGATGACGAGTGGTACTTGGAGCACTGGCAGGAGTGCTCCGGATTCTTTCAAGGGCACATGAAAGCAACTTGGTCCGCAACTCAGAGAGGTTTTGCCCGATCATGGTCTTCACAAACTTGCCAACTTGCCTGGTTGTCCCTGGTGTCTTTTTCCTGTGTGGGTGTGGCTCAAAATTTAACAGTAGGCATGTTTCCACTTACCAGGGTTCCATTTTGGTACCGTTTTTTTGGAGCCACAGCCATGTTCCAGGCAGTTGGCCAGCTCCAAGAAAGTGAAGGTCCGGACATGAACTTGCGTTTTGGGTAAATTTGGACATCCTCAAAGTTTCCCGGTCAATCTCCCTTTCTTCAGACGACCCGAATCCTTGCTTGATGGTTGGAAACTCGATGTGGCCATGGGTCATAACCCATGCCTCCATTTTGGGGCGAACACCCATGTACCACCTATCTTGATGTTCACCAGGGGAGTGTTTTGACCCACAGCCATGTGTCGAACTTCCGTTTGCTGGTTTCCAGAAAGCGACTCTTCCGTCTGCGGAGGAGTGGCACCGAGAGGTCCAGTCCCCCGGAGAGGCACGGGACATGTTGGAGGCTGCCGGCTTCCAGGCGCCCGGAATTGGCTTCAAGGGTTAAAGTGGAAGGAAAACAGCCCAAAATCACTCGAGTCTTAGAGTTCCAGAGCTAGCGACGCTTAGACTTGTCAGTTTGGAGGTCTGTTTAGCCTGCTTCTGTTTCTGTGGGCAGAGATATGCTGCTACTAGTGACATGTTGTTGCCGTGCGGAATGTGTGAGGTTGGTGTGCAAGAGGCAGTGAGCGACTGCATGCTTCAACAATCGAGATGACCTTCCTTGGGGACTGCGGATGTGGGAAGGGTTGGTTCTATTTAAATTTGAGAACTCAGAGCAATATATCAAGCTGGCTTAGATTGAGATTCCCAAGCAAAGTGCTTGATCAGACGTTTGCGGGCATGCGTGCGTGGATGCTGAGAGTCGTGTAGTGTAGTACCAGGTACAACGGGTGCCAGAGAACACGGGAAAGCTGGGGAAACACTTGACACTGCAAACAAGAAAGTAACATCTAGCAAAACACATATCTCAGAGCACTGCGCAGCACCGTGCAGAATAGCATAGCACGGCGTGCTTGTAATTCTTGTGTGACACCTCTGCAGGAAGCAAGTCCAGAACAGAATGGCACGGCCAAGCAAAACAGGAATCATAGGCTGCGGCTACAGTAGCGCATTTCGAGCAAGCAGTGCTTCGGTTGCGCACGTTTGCAATTGTTCGGCTGTGTTGCTGCGTGAGCCATTCAATTTGGTGGTTTGTGTGGAAGACACCCGCTTACTCACCTACTGTTCCGTGCTGAGACATTTGCGTCATCTCGCCAAAGTCATATTTGTTGGCTGCTGTTCACCTTTGCAGCCGGCGCATTGATGCCGGTATTCTCACCGTTTTGCAGCTGCCAAGTTCGGACTTGTCTCAAAATAGGGGAACCCGCACACGGCTGGTTTTTCCTTTGGTTTCCCTTTGAGGCATTCCATAAAGGGTACCCTCAAACAAAGACGCACCCGTCCGGACTGAGCCGGGAGGTGTTGCATGGCGCGGTGCGCATCGATGGCGTGCAGTTCTACGGCAGCCCTTTGCAGCCCCGGCAGCCAAAGAACCGGCGGCTCGGCTTGTCGACCTGGCGTTTGTAGGTCGCCCCATTTGTGGAAAGGACATAGAAGGAAACGCATTTTGCGGATGCTGGGTCACGTACAATCAGATTTCAGAGGCATTTGCAGGGGTGTTTCATGGCCATATATGGACTCAGAATGAGCACATCTTCATCCTTCACTGCCCGTGACAATTCCTAAGCCCGAGTCATCCACACTCTTTCACACAAGGCATGGACCTTGTCCCAAATGGCTGCTCAGGCCGCAGATGGCCTTCGGCAGGAGGCTCGGCCGCTCGGCGGCTCGGCGACTCGGCGCGGCATCGCACGCGACTCGTGCCAGGCGCGGCCAGGAGTTGAAGGAGGACGGGACCAAAGGGGTGGAAGCAATTTTGGGGGTCCAACCTTAAGAAGACATGCCCAAACCTCGGAGAGAATGAATTCCCCGCTTACCAGCGACAGCTCGATAGGCCTGAGTTGGAACCCGCTGCTTGTCCCACTTCGTGAGTTCCTCTTTTCACTTGTTGGGAAGACCAGTCTAGTGGCCCCAACTTTTTTTGGCCCATCCACTCAGGAAGTGAGTTGCCAGGAATGGGCCAAGATCCCTGCAGATGTTGACGTGCTTCTCACGCACACGCCGCCGGCACAGCGGTTGGACCTAGCCTCCTATGAGAAGCGAATAGGCTCGGCAGGGAGAAGTCTCAGTCCCAAGAAATGATCAACTTGCTGGCCAGTCGACCAGGCTGCCTGAGATACCCGGGTGCTGAGGCTTCTGCAAATGTCCACATTTTGGAGCCCTCTGCAAGCACCCAACAGGAGCATCACCAGCATCAGGACAGCGCTGGTGATGCTAGGGCCTGTGTTTGGGCTTTTGCAAGCCATCACCAGCTCCAAACACCCGCAGCCCACGCCATTGGCATTAGATGTTCCTATGGGCGTTCCCTGCACCAGCGACACCCAAGTCGCCATCTTGGACTTTTGCTTGAGCGGGTGCAGCCACGGAAGGGCAGCGCCGCGTGCGCCTGCGCGCCGCGCACGTGCGTCTAATGGCTGTCTGTTCGACACCTGATGACGCGCCCGCGCGGCCATGAAAGCGGCGCACGCTTGCGGGCTGCCCTTGTAGCATTGACAGCCTTTCGTGAGGCAACAAAGGAGTGATGCCGCTGGCGTGGATCAATTGAGCCTATAGACATCTACTTGTAGCCCGCCCAGAAAAGTTCGTAACTAACACGGTGGTGATGCTGGCAGTGTCGCACGGTCCCGCATCTACTTTGCGTCAACCGAACACAGATTTCTTTGCTAAAACGGGGGGATGACGGTGGTGTCATCCAACATAGATGAGTTAGAGCTTGGAGAAGTTGATCGATCGAGAAGTTAGTGGCAGAGAAGTTAGTTCTGTCAAACATTTGCTCTGGCCAGGACCAATCCCTCTAGCCACTAGGAGCATGCAAAGAGGGGACGGCTCTATTTGTTCAGAGAGACTTCTTCATGGGTCAAAGTGAAGGAGTTCCGAAACGAGAAAGAGTGTGCACGACAACAGAAGTTCCTTTGCTTAATGCGTTTGCTTCAGTTGGTAGCGAGAATGGATGAGACCTAGGAGGAGCGGGGGAGTGGTGTAATTGTTCCAGTAAAGCTGAACGCATTATCATCATCTTGTTTCGGTGTCTCCCGTGGCTTGGTTGTATCCATCGGTCAAGCAAGCCCTCGAATTACATCTTCAAGCGCAGTCAATGCCGTCGTTCTTTGAGATTACTTTGTTTGCATTTTTTGAGGGCAATCAACATGCCACGTGGAGTATCCATCATAGTGTAGTTGTAAACGCTGCGTTGCCCGCCTCGGCCCAGCCGAGCGCGCAGCGTCTGTGGTTCGACTGCAAGCAGCAGAGCTGGTCAAGTGGTCGTTGGTGTCATGGCTCGGGCCGAAGTTGCGCAGGAATCTTCGAGGCAAGGGCAAGGCGATGCATAGGACCAGGAGTGAGTCATGGAGCCAAGAGTCAGTGGCGCTGCGTGCTGGGGCAGTGGATGTCATGGGCGGACGACAACCAAAGCAGAGCTGTGGTGATCAACGCGCGCCGCAATCTTGATCGACTGTGTTGGCGTGGGGTTTTTCAAGCGTGGGCTAGTCGGAGTTGGGCATCAGCCGCTTTGGGCTGAACGGGTGGCCCGGGGTTGTTTGGGCTCAGAGTCGTCAGACATGCTTTTCGGGATAAGAAGACTATGTTTCATCATTGGAGCTGGACCCCGAAAATTTCAAGGCGCACTAGACAGGCCGGCAGACATGGGGGGGTGCGGGGGGGTGGGCTGGAGAAATTTTGGGAAGGGAGAAGTGGAAAAGAGATCTTGCCGCCCTTGGCCGAGGCGAACTTAGGTAAGCCTGAATTAGTGGTTTGGGCTGCTTTGGGGGGTCCCTAAGAGAGTTTGTCAATCATCGGGGCTCAAAAAAATAAGATTTCGGTTTTCGGTTAAAACTCAAAAGAGAGGAACGGAGCCATCCGGCCGTCGGTGGAGGCTGCGAGGAGCTCGCCAAGGCGTTGCTTCGGGTGGCGCCGGCGGCCCACGTCTTCGGGCACGCCCACCGGGGCCGCTTGGCGCTTGCGACGGCTTTGCCTTTCCGAAAGCCGACCTGACATAGGACAATCAGCGTGCCGGCGCCGACATGTTGCCTCCCGACCATTTGATGAACATGGAACCTGAAAGGGCGGGGGGTCCCGCAACCAAAAAGAGGTGACGCCTCTACACATGTTTTTTGTTTTGGGGTTCCATGTTAATCTGTAGGGGAGTATCCAACTAGTCTTTTGGGTAGGAATGATTCCAGGGCTCAACGTTGCCAAACCACTCAGTGATTCGACAAGCAGGGCGTAAAATGCTTGCCTTCTTTGCCGTTGAATATGCAGCAAGCCGAGCAGGGAGCTGCAAAGGTTGTCAAGCGCGCCACATACCCCCATTCTGCCCGACACGTGAAGGCGGTTCAGAGAAAATAGATAGGTGAAGAGGATAGACTCATCAAGAAACTTCAAGAATCGAATCCTAAAGTAGAAGCACATTTTTCAAGTAGAAGCATATTAAGTAGAAGCATATGATAGATGGATTCCAAATGCCAGGGGTCCATCTTTCATCTCTCTATTTCTCCCTTCCGAGGTTATGGCGTCCAGTTCTCTCAGAAGACGTGCTTCATCAATGCCGCGACTGCCTGCGACCGGCGTGGTGGGGATGGAGAAATCAACCCGCCCGTCGTATTTGAGGTGGTGAATCCGTAGCGATGCTTGGCAGAACTGGCAGAACTGCGATTCGTCCTGCATTGCCACCCTTTGCAACGACTTTTCAGGGAGTTTCTGTGAAAGCTACCATTGAGTGAGCCGACATGTTTCATTGGGTCAATGACCGTGAATGGGACATGGGACAGACTGCAATGGGGATGTGGCAGCGGGGCGGCCAATTTTAATTGGCATCTGAGGACAAATGAGCTCACAGCGAGCCATCGCATCCTGGAAATGCTCCTTGGTTCGCCAAGTGCGCTGGGGAAGTTGTTTAGGCAGCACAGCCAGGTGAGGGGAGGTGTGAGGGATAGGGGAGGACAGACGTCTTTTTTTCAGTTGTTTGAGGTGTTTGTTCGTTTCGGGAATGACCCTTGTTTGGCATATGAATGGTGATGTGACAGCAGGTTCACCTTGCGCCGCCACGCACTTGCACCACCTTGCATGAAAGACTTTGCGTGGTGCCAGTGCTTGGCATGCTGCCTCGTTAAGGTTGTCTCCTGTCCAACATCTTGCCATGCTGTCTGGCCCCGGGACTGCGGGCGCGCTTACGCAGGCCGCGGCTGACGAAGGTGGCGTTCGATTGGAAGCGCAGCGCCAACGTGTCATTGTGCGCCAGAGTCTCTCTTGCTTGGAGTCGATGATTCGGCAGGTAAGCGCCCCCGAGGATGATGCAGCACCCAAGGGCATTTTCGCTTTGCGTGGAGGCCACCTTTTGAGCTTGAGAATAGGAGTTGCGCGTAATTAGCATCCGTCCGAGGGTCATTCCAAGTGGTGAGAAAGTCCACGTCCTGAGGAACGTCAGTGCTAGATGCAATCTAGAAGGAGCAAACGCGCTGGCGGCAGGCAGAAGGAAATGTGGAGCGGAGCAAGCTTGGCTATGCTTGCCTGCCATTGGCTGCTGGATGCAACAAGTCTAGAACACATGTCTGTGCTATTGTCAAAAGACACCGTTGCTTGGGGTTGAAAGGGATGGTCATCCACCTGATAGAAAGAATCCTTAAAGTCAAAAGTCACGATGATATTTTATGACCCAGAGGTTCACTGCGCAGTTGCGTGTTGACAGTAGGTCAGTGCATGAAATCGTCGTTTCATGCATTACCGTTTGGCTCAAGAAAAAGGCGCGCGTCTGCGCACACGTTGCCCCAATTTAAGGTCGCAGTCACGGAGGGGATCGGTTCTTCTAAGGTCCCGGGTTCCCCCCCTGTTGTGTAAGGCTCTTTTGGGTAAACGATCCCTTCTGTGGCTGCGACCGGTTTACTGTCGCGCATGGAAGAAGGCCAACACGCTACTGCAGAATGGTGGATCAGTACAAGCAGCAGGGGCAACGATTCCGTTGGGTGACGTTTGCGGACGAGATCGCAGCATTGTTCGCGTGGCAGGCGACGCTAGATCGCTGGACGGTATTTTGATCCTGCGGCCTGGGAGGTGATTAGTCGGCACCAGCGCCTTGAGCTTGCTGTTGATGCCGGGCGCGGTAGGTGCCGTTGAAGATCAAGGTAGAGCAACAGCTACAAGCGCGCCGACAGCTCCGCCGGATCTTCCAGCTTGGCATCAGTCTTAACAGCGTCGGCCATCTGCAGAAGAGCGTGAAGCTGCACGAAGTGCGGCGCAGGGAGCGCTTTGCGGGGTATACACTAAAGCTGCGGCAACGCGGCGGGGCAGCAGCAGGAACCGCTCTCCGTTGCCAAGGATCAGGAGGCAGCCAAGTCCATCAAGGCCAGGGCCTCCTGAGCCACAAAGTCGGAGAGCCTGGAGTGTTGAGTAGGCATCAACCCAGGACTTGGTCAACATGCCCCAGTTGAAACAAGGTAACCCGTAGATGATGCCCCAACTCCACCCATAGCCACAATGTAACGCTCGGAGCCGAGGGCCTTGCTTAGGAGCGGTCATGGAGAATAGCGTTTTATGCCTATATTTCGTGCAAGGCTAAGCAGTGCGCCTTCTCGCACAGTGATGCTAATAAGTATGTGTAAGCCACCGCCGCCGAAGGCAAGTGCAGCTGTTGATTCCTGCCATGGCAAGTGCCGAGGATAACCGCGTTAGCTGGCCCTGGGACACCGCAGCTGGAAGGCGCTTGATCGGTCAGCAAGCTCTCAACAGCAACATGATCAAGCGCGTACGCGAGAGTGGCACACCCGTCGGGTTTGCAACTGGGGGCGGGGTGCCCAACAAAGCGCCACATTCGAGGCCAGCTGAGTGAAGAGCAGGTGTATGTCCTCCGTGATTGCCCTCCATTGCGGTCCATCGGAAAGACCGTGACCTTGTTCCCCCCAAAGAGCTTGCGCCTAGGGTAGTGGAACACCCTCAATATGACGAAGTGGTAAATCGCAAGTTGGCAGAGTCGTCAACTCTCTGGCCCGTTGAAGCTGCTGCTCTGAGTGCGGCCGAAGACGTATCACTATGTGACGGGTCATGCCAAGCGTCAGATGAAGGTGAGGTCGACCAGGCATCCGTCAATATGTTGGCGGCTCCTTGCCAGAGGATGACCTTCCCCAAGTCGCTCTACCCGACGCGCGAGAGTGCGTTGAAGGAGCAAGCAAAGCCCCTTGAGCACTTGAGGTCACAAGCAAGGGTCGCACATAAGCAGGACGCCAGGTCAGACGAGAAAGTAGACGTTCCCACAGCACCGCTGGCTACCGACTCCGTAATCCTCGCAATGGGTGACGAACACCTTGGAGCGGGGGTCGGGGGCATCGTCGCACCATGCGTGTCCCGTCAGCAGGCACGACACGCAGGCGCTGCGGCCGGTCCTCGAGTGCGACATCAGGGAGGAGAAGGAGTGCTGCCGAAGCATCCATCTACAATCCGAGCTACCCCGCTCGTTTAGTTGCCTCGCATTGTCGTTCTTTAGTCCCGGCAAAACGCAATGGGAGGTCCTCACAGAAGAAAAAATCGAAGGAAAAAGGTGCTGTTTCGGTCAGTTGGTGTGGTACCGAACCAAACTCCGGGCAAGCGCGCTCTAGATCCGACTATGGCACCCGCGCTCTTTTTGCGTTAGCAGGGTTACGGTGTCGCAACGTGGTCAAAGTCATGGATTATGAAGTCTTCCGAAAAGATGGCTCCATTTCCATTCGCAAGGTTCCTGAAGCGTAATTGTTCGTGGAAGACGGACCTCCAAGCTTTCCGGTCGCGGCCGCGGCGGACAGGGCGTTGCACGCAGGGCGCCTTTCAGGGCTCCGCCCACTCCTACCGCTCCCGCGTCAAAGTCAGTGCACATAAAGATTTCCCCCATATCCCTTGATAGGATCACTGCAACTCGTACTACTCGTGCCGTGTTTCAGGGGGGCAAGTCGGAGAACATTCATGACGGGTGGTTTGGTAGCAGACCAAGCCGCGCGCTTAGTGGTCCATGGACTGGGTTCACAGTGTTCAAGTTAAAACCCGTGCGGTCCGAACATGTCACCGCCACAGGTGCAGCCGTGATGTTAGACTCCACTCCGCCAACATCGCTCAGAGGCATCAAAGAATGGCAGTCCAAGGATGCAGCTTCGTCGAAGCCCGCAAGCGCCAAGCACGCATGGAAAAGTTGCCTGTGATGTTCGAGTATGCATGTTCGGCCGATTCAAGCATGGGTCGAGTGTTCCAAGGATTAGGCGTACCACATGTCAGGCTCGCTAAAGAGTTCATCGACCTAAGTACCGATGCTGGGGAAGTTCAGTTGGATGCTTAACTGAAGAGTTGCGAAAAGCCAAGCCTTTCCCTGATAAGCTTGAAGATGTGCGTGAAAAGGTGTCCGCTAAAGCTGCAGCATGATGCGCTGCGTCAAGCCCAACAGCAACATGTGCAAAGTCCCAGTTGTTGCTTGAATGCCCTGCAGCAGTCTTCATGGTGTAAACTTGACTACAAGTCGGCGTGGTATTGCGTTGCAGCTTCCTCGGTGCCAACAACGAGGGGGGAGTCAATACTCGTCATTTCACGCATTACCATTTGGCTCAAGAAAAAGGCGCGCTTCTGTGCGCACGTTGCCCCAATTTAAGGGAGAGGTCGCAGTCACGGAGGGGATCGGTTCTTCTAAGGTCCCGCGTTTCCCCTCTGTTGTGAAAACCGTGTTTCCCTCTCTTTTGAGTCTTCATGGTCAGAATGATTGCTGTTCAGGGAACCATGACCCAATCCCCAAAATATTCAAAAAGAGTTTCGACCACGCACGCCCTTCCGGACGAAGGGAGGCCGTTCCCGCGGACGTTTTTTTGGCTCAAGGCTTTGTTGCACGGGCCGGTCCCCGGCGCGACCTTCAGTTCGCGACGTGTTTCTCTTGGTGTGTTTTTCTAGAATTGAGGACGAGTCCCCCATTTTTGGAGCTCGGTTTTCAACCAGGTTTCCCAAACCACCCTCTTTTCAGGGCACGCTCAAAATATCACACATCCATATCTACGTGTATATCTTCGATAGTGACAGGTTAGGAAGGTCGCACTGGATGCTGCGCAGCTGATCTGCTGCCTGAAGAAGTCAACCTTGGTGTCACCCAAGACCTTCAGACACGATGTTACCAGCTGCAAACGTGGCAGCTTCATTACGTCATTTTGATGAGTGTCAATGGGATTTGAATCTGATACCAATGAAGTCTTCCGCATTGAAGCTAGATGCCCCAGACGAAAGGAGGGTCGTGCGCAGCTTCCACGCCTCGCAAAGGCCATGAAGCAGGGAGGATTTCCTTTGCTGGATCCTCGCCCGCCTTTGGGGGACGTTTGCAGGAGTGCCTGAAAATTGGCATTGGTGCTAAGCACATTTGCAGCTTCCAGCTGTTTCCCGCTGGCTTCTTTTCGCAGAGGACACCCTTAACTGCGGAGCGACGTGAAGCTGAGACTCGTCGGTATCTCAGAACTTTCGAAGTTTCTCAGTTCTTTGGCTGCAAGGGCTCAAAGTGTCGGCCTGGTGCAGGCTACTCAAGCAATGCTTCATCTGCTGTGCAACGCTGAGAGGGGCAAGGTCTTGCGAGGAAGCAGATGGAGGGGGGACATGATGGCTTGCAGAACCAGTGCCGCAATTCATGGTGTCAAGCGCATTTCAGCTGATGCACCTTGCATCCATGGCGTTTGAATGGATAGGGGATGGTCATTGACTCTCTAATAAGTTTGGACAGCCGCCGTAAGATTCTCGTTTGAATAGCCCACGACCATCCTGCCAAGCAGTCATTACATGACCCAGATGGGTACTTAGGCAAAGCAGCTGAGTAGTGCAGAAGGCTCGCCGGCAAGTGGGGAATAGTGCTGATGTTGGACGGAAAGCTTAGAGCCATGCTTCCGCGGTAGAATCGTGTTCAGTCTTGGGCAGGATGGGTCCGTGACCACTGACCCATAGCCTGTTGTGGATTTGCAACCGATATGTGTTGTGGTCTCTAGATTCTGCACTGGGAATTGCATTGCTGCATGACTGAATGACCAGGCCATCTGAACAAGCTAGCAGTGGATCCTGCTCTAACAGAAGCAGAAGCTGCTCTCAAAGACTTCCGCCACAGCAGTTTCTGCGGCCACGCTTGAGGGATCAGCAGTCGCGTCGTGCATGCGTTGCAGCTCGTAGCTTCATGCTTATATTGGGTGTGTCTTTTCTTGAGGGAACAGCTTGAGAATCGAAAGGAACATCACATTTTTGGGGGCAAAACCAAGAGAAGCGCACACCCTGCTAAAGCCTGGAAGCTTGCATTGGCGTGAGGCACACGCGCCTGCCAGGTGATGCAGTGGGATGCGCCGAATCTGTACGAGTGATCTCCAAGGCGCAACAGATCAAGGCCTGGTTTACGAAAGCGATGGATTTCTTTCTGCTGCAGAGGTTCCGCAATTTTCCTTTTGTGGACCTCGAGTAGCAGTTTTGCGAGCCCATTGCAACTTTTGAGGGGAACTCCAGTGACTTGTGTGGGCCAGTTGTCCAACCCTTGCATCTTTGTTGGTTTTGTTTTTGCCCTCCGTGTCTCTCGTCCTCCTCGGGACACTCTTCTCTCCTCGTCTCAGGCCTTTCTGTCGGATGACGAGGATGCCCGCTCGCTTCAGCCAGAGGTGATGGTGACGCAGGACTAAGAAAGGATGTTTCATTGTGTTGCTTGGCTGTTTGGTGTTCCTTCAGAGTTCGTTGGATGTTTGTCGTTTGTAAGTTACAGCTGTTCAGTTGTTTGTCGAGATTTTGGTTCCAAGCTGGTTCCGCTCTGGAGTGTCCGCTCGTTGTGCCTCGAAGAGAAGGAAGCAACCCATGAATGTTGGTAGGAAAGCAGTAGGACGGAAGGCGTTCTTTTCGAAGCACCTGAGTTTGTCGAACTCATGCCCCGCACTCAACTGCTTAGTTTTTGCGCAACAACAACAGGGTTGGTGGGCGGGGGTTTACCGGCAAGCCAGCCAGAAGTAGTCGCTGTTGCTCGGAAGGCATGAAAACGCGAGAAGGCAACAAAGAAGGGGAACTCTCGGATAACGGCACCCCAGGATGAACAGGGGGCGTCCCATCATCTGCGAGGTTCACGGGGTTTGACTTGTTTGATTCTCTTCATTTTTGGTAGTCAAGGAACACTTTTCACCTGCTGCAAGGGGGCTTCGACTCGCATTCTTCGGTGTACTCTCTAAATTTTGAACTAATATTGATGAGTTTCACCACAAACCTCTGACATTTTCGTTTGGGTCGCCTCATGCACAGGCCCCAAAAAGGTTAGGTTTGCGTCCGAGTATTTTCCTTCAGGAGCTAGAGAAGGCCAAGGCAAGTAGCGACCGCGCCGCGCAGGCGGAGCTGAAGCGGGCTTCCGGGCACACGATCAAAACCCGAAGCGAAGGTTAACGGACAGTCTCAACCAGAACGAACTTTGTAAAGCATTGGGTTTGGGAAGACTTTGCTGTTGGCACTTGGGTGCGGCCTTTCGCGATAGATTCCCGTGACTGGAGGCGATTCTTTATTTGGCTCTGTGCGAGATCCTGTCCTTCGGCACTGCCGATAAAGGCCCGCGAGCGGTTTTCGATTTTCACAGGCTGAATGCAATTGTCAACCCTGCAGTCTTCGGACCTCGCATTTGGGAACATTTTAAGTAAGTCAATCCAAGGTTCTTTGCCTGGCCAGCTTCCACTTGATGGATTGCCGACTGGTTCTTGTCATATTACCGGATGACTCCAGTGTCTTAAGCCAGGGTTATTGTCTTTCGCTTTGATTGTCCTTCTGTCGACAAAGTATCAAAGCCTCCGCATTCTGGTACAGATTTGTCAGCCTGTGCCTTCAGTCAACATCCCAGTTTCCTGCCCCCGTTCTTTGCTCCTCTCTCTCGCACCTTCTCCCCTTTGCCCTTCTCCCCCGCTCCCCCTCTCCCCCTCTCCCCTTCTCCCAAATTCCCGTGTTATGTTTGCATGCGATTGGGCCATAATCTTGCTGAGAGGCTTTCTTCTACGTGAGCAACACAAAGTGTTATTAGCCATGTCATCAAGTGTCATTCGGAGATGTTGCGATAGCAACTATCCGTTGGCATTTGGCTCAGTGTTTGGTTCCGTCGCGGCCTCGAATGGGCATCTTGGGGAGAAAGAGACCTCAGGCTGCTGTCAGGTTGGTAAGGTCAATCCGTACGGTTCATTGTCGGCCAAGGCCGCGGGCAACCCTTTTCTCTTTTGGTTGTTTTCTGTGGTTGTTTGGTCACTTATGTGTGGGAAACCCTGATCTTTGGGACTGGGGATTGGCTATTGGGGTCTTTCTGTTGTGGCTTGTTTACCCCAACTCACCTTTCGCCTGGGCGCAGGCTCGTGCCCGAAACACACAAAGCAGCTGATGCAAGAGAACCCTGCGAACGCGTGCATTCTGATGTTGGGAGTTGCAATGTGCTGCAGTGCTGCACTGCCGTGATTGAAACCCCTCGGACACTTCTCGGAACATTGAGTCAGCATCCCACTGAAAAGAAGAGAGGTGATGTGTGGAACAATGTTGAAGGATTCGGTGTTTCATGTCTTGTCTCCAGCGCGTGTGCATCCATCCAATCCCCAACAGCCACGGGTGCGCTGTGTGTCAAGTTAGCCTCAGGCGAATCATGGGGTCCCCAAAGCTTGGGACCTCAGGATGTGTCCTTTTTTTCCACCCTTTTTGGCGGGTTGTGAAAGGACGTCAGACGAATTTGAGTTGAACCATTCAGGATGGCAATTCGCTCTTGTTGCCTCAAGATTTCAGGGCACCGTTGTTCGGGCATCAACCAGTTCGGTGGGTTTGAACCTTAAGCTCGGCGCAGTGCCGGCCTCCGAATGTCTCCGCTTCAGGCGCTCCCAGCCGGGCCATGCGAGACAAGGCCCTGGAGGCCGGTAACGAGGCCATGGGATCCGAGAAAGCCGCCCGCGGAATCCAGAGGCTCCATTTGGCTGCGGGTCAAAAATAGGGTAACCCAAACATAGAACCCTGGTAAATGGAAACATGGACTGAAACCTGCGGTCCCCTGGTGGTTTCATTTTGACCCATACGCATTTGAAGGAAAATGGTCCTTCCCCAGCGAGGTTCGTTTCTGTGCGGAAAGGGGGGCATGTTTTGAGCCTCAAGTTGGAATACACCTGGACTGCTGCCTGGCTCAAGGAAAACATATTATAGCGACTAATAATACTGCAGGTGATCCATTTGCTCACTCGCTTCAGGAGCCCACCGCTGCTGCAACAAATGCAGTTTTTGGTTGGACTACACAGAACTGCTTGCTCACTTATGGGGCAACATGCTGCCCAGAAAGTCTTTGGTTCTGGCGCTACCTTTGCAAACCTGCGTGGCAAGTTTCGGAGGCGCCAAGCAATTTTCGAACCAGAACACCTAAACATGAAATCCTGGACACCCAAACTTATCCATTCCCAACAAGTCAAATATCCGAACTCACGCGAAAGCATATCGTATGACCACTTTCCAGCTTCTTGTTTAAAGTTTTCAAGCCCGGCTCGCAAACTTCCAAACTTGCGCCCAGCTAATTCCGAGCGCTAGCAGAGCCGCACCGAATCTGCAGCCAGAAGTTCCATTGTATGCTCAGAAGTTGAAGTCAATCGGCACGCTGACAGTTTCAGATCCTCCGGCTTTTTGCACAAGAGGTGTCGGAACCCTGACCCCAGAAAGTTCCAACGAGTCCGTGCTACTGTAAGAGTTTGGCTGTTCAGATTGGTCTGGGAAAAGTGAAGTGCCATGGTAACGATTCGATGCGATTTTCATTGCTGAGCCCATGAGACTGATTCAAACGAACACCCTGCCCCTCGCCATTGAAAGGCTCAGGCGCGGGCACCAAATCACAGCACAGGCCGCGGATCTTTTTCAAGGTCTTGCCGAGACCAGGATGCAAGCGCCCGCAGCCTAGACGAAGAAACCAACATGTTTGTGACGGCATTGGGTTGTCAGCTTTTGAATATGCCTGGAAGACAAAGAATTGAGCCACAATCAAAGCAGCTGTTTCAGCCTCAAGCCTTCCCGCGGTGACAGCTGTTAGCTGTTCGGGAGGACCTGACCCCTCCTTGGTCATGGCCCCATCACCCGGACAGTTACAGATTTGGGGACAGGGGTTGATGTTGGCCTTTCTGGTCAACTTTTTCATGTTTTCCTTATCTATTGGAGATGTGAGAGAAGGGATTCTTGTGGAATCCCAGGTGGGGAATTGTTACTCTTTTCTTGGTCTGTTTTCGAAGATGTTCATGGTGATTTGGAATGGTGTTTATTTTTCTCCTGGAAAAGCTGCCTATTGGACCTCCCTCATCTGGAGCAGAGTGAGGACCACTAAGGACTGCAGATATGACCTGGTATTATTTGGTATTGATGAGTATTGGTGGATCTTGGTTGGTATTCTTCTTCGTCAGCGGCCTATTGATGCGGTTATTGAGCACCTCATCGTCGGCGCCTTTGGTATTTTGTATATTTCTGGATGTCGGTATCTTCGTGAAGGAGCAGCAATATTGGTGCGCCTATTGAGGCTCATTCTACATGAAGCAGATGAGATACAGGCCGGGTGTCGTATTTGGGTACAGGGGAGGTGCAGACAGACCCCTTGGATTCCCTTCCGGCTCCCTTTATTTGTGATTATTTGGGCTTCATGTACCCTTGAAATGGATTGGTATCTTCGGGGGTACCTACCCCACAATAGCTTCCCTGAGCATGCTGTGGGCGTTTATATGGGGGAATCTGCTCTGTTTGGGTACCCATATGGCTCAATCAGTGTGATTTGGAGCATTAGCCATGGAAGCAGCCCGAGGGGCGTGAGCCTTCTGAGTGGCAGTCTGATTGCCGGGGTGGCGGTCACTATGCTCTTCATGGTGTGCGTGCAGGCGCTGCATAGGGTATGGGTGCTTCTTGTCCGAGCTTGCAATTTGGGCAAGATGGAGGAAGAGCAGCTTGGCGAGGAGAGCATTGACCTCGACAGGTTTGGGAAGCACCTCGAAGGCCCCACGGTGGCTCTCGGAACTGTCACTGGCAGGATTTTGTGCAATATGGGGAGAGGCAACTGCTTTTGGTATGCAATCAGTCAGCTTCGCTTCGGGCACTCCAGGAGCTGGAGAAAGATCAAGCTTCAGGTCCTTAGCAACTCCACCCTGGAGATTCAGAAGAAGCTCAAAGCAGGAGGCAAATGGGCAGATGAAGACGCAATTCAAGCAGCATCGGATTTTTTGGGGCAGGAAATCTGGGTGGTCAATGTGGGCAATGGGTGCAATTATAAACACACCGGGCAGGTGGTGCGGTTCATGCCTACAGTTCAGGATATGCAGATCAAGCCGCTGATACTCAGGCTATTGAACAATCACTTTGAAGCTATTCGGATGGACAATATTCGGCTTGAGGAGCGAGCAGTATCATGGGAAGCTTTTAAGCGGTCCTCTTTTGACTTATATGCTCATGACTCCGAGATGGATGCAAGTGAGGCCCGCACCGACTCTGATCTTCATGGAGGAGGAGGAGGACGCGGTAAAGGACGGAGCAGGGCGCCATTTACAGATATTCCGGGAGTTACATACGATATCGGTCGGTACCTTTCTTTTGTTCTTCGGCACGGAGCAGTCAAGGAGGGCATCTCGATGGATGACGAGGGCTATGTCAAGGTGGAGGATATTTTGGCTCGGAAGCCACATGCCTCGATTGACAGCGTACTACAGGCAGTCAACAAATGCGAGAAAGGAAGATTTGAGCTTCTTCAAGGGGAAGAAGGTTGGCTCATACGGGCCACCCAAGGCCACAACAAGGAGCTGGATCTCAGCAATGAAATGCATCGCCAGATTACAACGCCGGATGAGGTGGACCAGCCCACTCTGTTTCATGGCACATATTTGGCGGCGTGGGGGTCCATTAGACGTCAGGGTCTGCGATGTGGCCACAGGCAACACGTGCACTTTAGCACCACCTACTTTGTGAACCATGGGCAATCAGGAATGCGGCCGGGTTGTGATCTGGTGGTTGCAGTGAATGTTCAACAACTGCTTGACGCAGAGATGCCCTTGTACAAATCAACCAATGGGGTCTATTTGGTGGGCTGTGACATTCCACCAGAGCTTTTGTACAATGTATACTGGGCCCGTGGACCTCATGACTACAGGATGATTTGGCAATATGGATATTGTGTGCTACATTTGCAGATAGATCAGGATGAGATATTTGCAGCCAAATGTCGGAGGCTTGGTTTGGAGCCCTGGGACTCTTCACAGCCCCCAGATGATCATGATGGAGGAAATGAGGAAGTGAAAGAAGAGATGGAGGAAGTCCTTGTGGAAAACGAGGAGCAGGAGAACATGGAATATGAAGAGACGCATGGAGAAGAAGTGGTAGCTGATGGTGTGGACCAGGCTTCGGGCTCTGACGGTTATCGAGGCTTGGGAGAAGTGTGGAGTTTGTCGGACGCGCCAGCCTGGCAGAGAAGGATCCGATTCAAGTCACGATCCCGCTCCCCCGGTGGGAGGCCGCTTCATAATAGTCTTCGGACCCCGCTCCCGAGGAGGCGCCCTTTGCCGCGATTGAGGAGAGATGTCAGCGGTGGAGCTAGAACTTGGGGTACGGAGTTCACGGAGCAATGGCGCGGTTGCAGGCTTTTCCTCTGTATTGTCTGCTCCCTGGCCTATTTTGGTGCTAGTGGCATGGACCTTATCAGTCATATTTGCGGAGGCGGTGGAGACGAGTATTCATACTATTCCACCGATGATGAAGCATTTTTGCAGAGCAGTCAGCATGATGAGCCCACGAAGAGAGAGACGGCATGGAGAAAAATCGGCAAGGACCGCAGACGCATGAAGGTTCATTTCGCTGATATTCGGACTTTCACCACGGCCCCAAACTATGATCGACCTCGTGAAGGTACGCCACCCCCGGCTAGGACGAGTGGAGGTGATGATCAGCCTCACAAGCGGAAGAGGCGCAAGCACAAGAAGATCTTTGTTGAAGACACAGATCCCCGGCCCCCTCTTCCCCGCATAAGACGGGTTGAGGTGTGGATGAAGGACGAGCCTATGCTGGGCATCGATGGACGACCGGCCCTGCCTCGCAAAAGATCCTTACAGGGGGGTATGCTTGAACAGGAGGTACCATTGGACCTTATGAGATTGGGGCAGTATTTGCAGCTCACGCCATTCAACGATGAAATCAGAGCCCTTTTTCCATTAAATCGGTTTCTGACCTATGCACAGATTCTGGCTGAGAAAACCCGGGTTATTATGACGCTCACCAAAATGTCTGAAGCCCAAGTCCTGAGCCTTAAAACTGCGTGTCGGAAGCTCATGGGCAAAGCTGTTCAACAGACGAGGGCCAAACAATTTCTCGATCAGGAGGATGAAAGAGATGTCAAGGATGCGGTTGCCCTGGCCACCATGCATGTTTCTGATGGGGATCAACAAATTCTTGTTGGCAAGTTTGTGAGTTGGAAGATCAAACCGATGCATTTCATCCCTGAAAGCTCGCCCTCCACTATTGCTGGTTTGCTGGGAATCGATGAGTACACTGTTGAAAAGGTGAGATCCATCCTTCTGGACTATTTCAGTTTTCCCCCAGAGGCAGACCCGGCACTGGGTTGGTACTTCGACGTGACAGGTGGATGGACTGGCATTGTTCCTATTTGGGCGAACTCCCTCGGGCTTATTGGTGGGGGTGGGGAACAGGACGATGAGTCTGTTACTTCGGATTCATCTGCCTTTCACATGCTCAGCCGATGTAGGGATGCCCAAACAGCTTTTGATGAGGCTATTCAACTGCAAAGTACGCTGAGAAAACGGAATCGAAGATTGGCCAAACTTTTGCAGAAGCAACAGGAGGTCATTGAGGATCAAAAGGCTACTATCTGCAGGCTTAGGCACACCCTCTCGCAGCTTCTGCCCACTGTTGGAACTGAAGGGAGGATTGTTGGGGATCCGCGGCACATTCCACTTGGTGATTCTGAAATCTCCCCGACGGTTCCCTTCTTTGTTGATGAAGGACCTCCGAGGGGCCTAGGGCCGGATCGTTTCCGTGACAGGTCCAACAGATTGGCTACGCAGCCTTATTCTATTGCATCTGGAAGACTGGAAATCAGCAGAGGTGCTCGACCTGCTCTTGCGGTTTCCTACGAGCCCATCGAGGACCTCTCAGACGTTGAAGGTGGTATGAAGGATCCCATTTGCATGATTATGCTACATCATCTATGTGGGATCATCGATGCGATATCTCTCACTATTCCTTCAGTACAACATGACTCTTATTGTGAGTTATCTGACCTGGGGTGTGGTATTTCTATTTATCGGCTGATGCAGTATGATTCCTTTGGCATTATGGCAGAGCAGATCACAGGAGGAGGAGGAGCAGCTGAAGCCGAGGCAATTGGTAAGGCTCAGCAGAAGGTCATGAGGGCAGAAGTTGAGTTTGCCCCCAAGCAGATTAGAGCCCTTCTGGTTCTTGACTCCAAGCTTAGGGAAAAGATCCTTAGCAATGACGGGCAAAATCAGATTCGGGACATGATCCGGGCCTCAGCTAAGAAAATTGGGATGCAACCTGACAGGAGTGTCCCTGTCCCGTCCGAGGAGCAGCGTGTCCCGAATGGGAAAGCCGAAAAAGGGGGCAGAGGCAAAGGGAATGGCAAAGCTATGAATCAAGATACCTCTAAAGGCAAAGGTAAGCGCAAAGAAGATGATGTTCAGGAAGGACAGGACAAAGGGAAGGGACGCGAAGCGCAAAACAAAGCTAAAGGGAAAGGGAAAAAAGGGAAAGACAGTCTACCTGAGCCTACCTTCGAGCTGATTCCAGAAGACTGGAACTGCCCAATCAGGTCTATTGCGGATTTCAACCCCTCCGCCCATGGCCTGTATCTTGTTCAAGATGCAGCGGTGGCCCAACAACTGGCCAGCAAAAT